TAAGTTTAATTCTTAAGGAATCATTACAATAATCTCATCTTGCAAATTATTAGTGACCGTTTTTCAATAGGTCCCACCCCATCTAGTCTGAAAGAGCAACATGGACTGATGCGTCAAAACCCCCAGCTCAGTTCTACTTGTGTTTAGCAACTGAATCTTACCGTTAAAGTGAATTACAAGCAAATGAAAAACCCCAAAAGATTCCAACTAGCTTGGCCAAGCAGAACTCTCTAATAATACACAATAAACTACCACATCCAGAGTACATTTATTAATCTGTCTTCACCTTCTAGTTGCTTGACCAGTGAAGTTATGCTTTTTAATGCTACAAATAGCTTCTTTCCCACAAGCTTTCTCTTTCAGGCCTGCGTCCAAGAACTCTGTAGGACCACTAACCTGAGGGACAAAGGCTTAGAAGCCTGTTTCTAATTTAAACCAGTGCTAACAGCACAGAGACGAATACAACCAAATTCAGCCACCATGCCCAGACCATTACATTTTAAGTCACAGTGGAATTAAAATGTAGCTGCAGGTCTGCCATCTCTCACCCTGAGCTATGTGTCAATGCTTGCTGAACCTGACAAGCAGACATGCACTGTCACTGTTGCACGCTGGTGCAATGCAAACCAAACAGTTGAAAAAAGCAGATGAGACGAGAGATGAGAGAGTTTGGAAGGATTTTACAGCTTTGCCTTGTGATTTCTTAATAGATCTTTGGTTATTGATTTTATATAACTTGATAAGTAAATCACAGTTAAAACCCTGTTTTTGCATGTACCAGGTGACATTAAGAATCCAGGTATTAACAACAGTTACCATTTGCATTGAAGTAATTCAGGTTTAATATTAAACTCTAGCTTTTTATTAAAAAAAAGGACTCAGAAAGGAGTACCGGACACAAACAAGCTTAACAAGACTGTAACTAAATGCTTCCTGCTAAAATAATAAAATTCTAACTTCACCAAGAATTAATGACAAAAACTCCCAAATACCAATTTGTTTTTCTGACAATATCTATGGTTTTTAATAATATGCACTGTGCCTGAATGAGAGCAAGCAGCCCAAAAATAATGAGATAGACTGGGTCTCCCTTTGCCTTCAGGTACATGAGCACCTTCAGTAAGCATCAGACAGAAAATCTGTGTCTGATGAAAAAAACTGATCCAAGCTAGTTACTGAATTTTGCACTCTCAGAGGGCAGGACACACTATCAGCAGGGTAAATTTTTCCACTGTGTGCCCCGTTCTGTGAAGCTAGAACTGTAGCACAGTTAAACTAACAGAAGAAAAAGTACTGGAAACTAATAAAGAACAATCTAAAAAGAAACAAACTTAGGAATGCAGTGAATGTTTTTCATTAATTCTTTCACATATGGTTTTTATTGCCATCCAAAAACGTCAAAGTGTCACTTTGTAGTAAGTGAACAAGTGATTCATATAGGGAGCTGCTATCACTGAAAACCGAACTCAGAGAATCTCAGTGAAAAAAATTACCTTTTATCTTAAAATAAGCCAGGTCTTTAACTTCTGGGTATAAAAATTATGAATGCTTTATGATTAACACTTTAAAAATGTCTCTGCTGAAGTGAAAAGCAAGATGACTTTTACAGGCAATTATAAATACCTGCTGGTCAAGTATTTAAAAGAATAACTTTAGCTAGTGTCCTTTTAAGGCTGTAGTAAGCACCTGTTCATTTCACCCATAGCTTTATTGGATTTTCACAGAATGTTAATACCTCCTTAGCACTGGATTTTATTGTAAAAAGATTGTTCTGGTTTACAAGGATAAACAAAGAAATGTTCAAAAATAAGCTGAAAAACCTAAACGCAAAAATCTCTTCAGCGAACGTATGGAAGCATGTATAACACTTCCTCATTGGATTGGCATCACCAAAGTGTTCCTGTCTGTATTACCTCTGCTTCAGCATATACCCAGATGCATAAAGCTCAGGACTAACCTTAACATGGAGTAGATGCAACTCAACCCAAGTGGGAGAGATAAAGGCGCTGAGGGAACAAAACTGGGTACTGAGATAGAAGGTATATGAGGAACACTGGTAACACGCATGGGCTCGGCATGGTGCTAAACAGGAAACTCAAGTGACTGCCTGCAAGGCAGCTGCAGGCTGGTGCTGCTGCCGCTGGCAGGAGGAGAGAATGGCCTAGGTCTTGCTGACATTTATATGCAACAGCTGCAGCACGCTCTCTGGGGGACTCCATACCAAAGTCAATTCAGACATCGAAGCTAATGCCTTTCACGGCTAAAGCTCATCTAAGATTCTCACTTGCTCCTGAAGTCTTTCACTTTTATAGCTAACACGTACTATCAACAGAAATCACAATGAACGTGCACAGATGGTCACAACATAGACAGTATTGCAGCAACTTCTGCTGCTAGAAAAATAAGATTCCAAGAACTAAGCGTGCAAAACCATATTTCTCTACATTTTGTGGTACTGTACTATACTGACGTGTTTCAAAGAAGTTTCTTTAATAGCTGAATCAAAAATTGGCAGAAGTGATTTCAGGATGTTCAAAGCTACACAGAATTGTATTCTGCCATTGTATTATACCATGCAAACACCTTCTGCTATGATAATTTGCAATTTCACTGTGTTTCCAAACTTATTTTAAGTGTTCATAAAGACACTGAAGTATTTTTATGTAGATTTGCTTTGAAGCTTGACAGTTTGCAGTCTTCCCAAAAGTCTCCTTCACACAATTTCTAGGAAGCACGTTGAGACAATTGTTAGCGCGGGAGGCGTGTGCCGGGGGCGCACGCAGTGTTTCACATACAGCCTAGTGAAATGAGCAGCTTGGGGGAGCTGCTGTAACTTAATTAATACCATGCTAGAGACTGCCCGCCTCTAGAGGCAAAGACTGGCAAGCCACAAAAGAGTGTTAAAACAGCTATAACTTTTTCATGTCTTTGGGTTGCAGAACAGGAAGGTCCTGCACAAAGAGCATGAGCAAAGGCTACCCTTCATCCCACTCTGCCCAAGACAACTATGTCCAGCTGCATGGGATTTACTTCCAGAAACCATGTTAACTGTCTGTGCAAATCTTCAACTTTCTGACCGATTGGGTCAAGGTGCCAACTGGAAATTAGTTTATTTATGTGGCAACTATCAAGTACAAAACAGGCTAAAGTCATATGCCCTGAACAGGACGTTGCATTACAGAGAATTGGCCAAGTATTCCTAAGCTTATACTGGAAAGGACGGGGGGGACCCTCTGCAACTACAGTGACTAACAGGTGGTTACTTCTGTGGCAGTAAACACAACACAAAACCTAACACAGCCTTACACACACACAGACACATACTCTAAAAGCTGTCAAAAATACACTCACTGGTCCATATTAAAAAAAAAAAAAAAAAAATCTTTGGAGGCTGAATCCTGCTAATTGCAACTTCAGCCACGTTAAAGGCAGAATGATGTTTTGCCACTATATGTGTTTAAAATGTTAGTAAGTGCGTTTTCTATGACAAGACTTTCTGTCCATCTTCTATATACGTGGGGCCACTGTCATCTGCATCGTATTTCTCTTTCATTCCAGGTAGGCTCAGAACAGACTATGGCATGACACACATGGAGGGTACCCGTTCATCATTCAGTGAAAGCTCACATCATCGACAGAGTAACACAATAGATAGCAGGGTACACATCGAGGCCATGTAAGTTATAGCTACCAGGATGAGAGAACTGAAGGAGCACCCGTTCTTGGCAGAACATGTAGAATTGCAGAAGCAGATTGTAAGGAAAGAATTAGTATTGAAGGTATTTTAGCTGTATGCAACTTGGTTTTGTGAAAAGTTGTGTTTGGTAGAAAGGGTATTTTTAATCTAACAGTTTTATTTAATTCTTACAAAGCTAAATTGCAGCTGGTCTGGACATTACGGATTAGTTTTCTTTTTACAGTAACCATTGCTGCACATATGTACTGTTCCACAGCTGGTGTTAAGCAACCTGGCATAAAGAAACATTTCTTCTTTATTCCTGATGCTTATGTACCCTTTTTCACCCCTCTTGTCTTTGAAGGATGCTTTTGGTAAGCATCAATTTAGAATATTTTTAAATCTGTAATTTCTCTATGAATTAGAAAAAGATAAAGTAATTGGATTCAAGTTGATTTTGCTTTCATTACAACAATTCATATATTAACTTCCAAAAAATTTGAGTGTTTTTTTCTTTTTGAAAGAAAATCCAGAGGAGACCAAAATAAATCAAACTGTGTATAATGTAATCTTGCTTACAGCACAGAATTTGGAGACTACAGATTTGTTAATTAGCAGCAAAAAAGCATGAGACAGAACCTCTGTACATAGATATATGTTGTGTACAGCATGCACTTGGGTTACACGCTTTAGTTTTGAAACTGCATGCTTCAGTACAGTTTGCAGGACATCAAAGCAGAGTAGTTTTGCTACACGAGAAGTGGATTTCTTTTGTCGTCAGGTCCCACCACATTCAGATTAGATGGCTCCTTTTCCTGCCTGAACAAGCCAGCACCAGCAGGCAGCCACAGAATGCAAGATTCATCGGTGCAAATACATACACTTTAGAAGAGACTCATTTTTCATTTTAGGAGACTATATTAAAACCTTCAGTCTCTGTTCTTGTCTAATCAGCGTGTATATATTGTAATATTGGCAAGACAGAAAGCTGAGATAAAACAAATCTTTTAGTTGGCAGTTCTTAATATTCTGATATCTTAGGCAACAATGCAAGACTTCTAGAATCTTATTTGAACATACATTCCTCTCTGAGGAAATTATGCGTGTAGTAATTTGTTTTAGACTACCCCCAAATAATCCCCACATAGATTGCAATGTGCATATGCATATATATTTCCATAATAAGAAAGTTGAAATATTTACTTAAATGCTCAAACTTTTTAAGAGATCATGCACTGATGTTCTTTGATGGTGAAAAGCCAAATAAAAGATTTGCGAGAGCGCTGAATTTGAAAGCAACCAAAGGGCATAGCTTAATTCTTACCTTGGCTGTTTTTTTCACGAGTTGACATTTTTGCTGGTTATGGGACAGAAATAAAATATCTTAAAACTATTTCTGAAGTCTCACTAACACCTGCTTGGATGAAGACTGGCACATAGGTCAAAATTTTAGATTTTTGTGTTCCTAACCTCCCTCTATGCACATGCATACAGAGAAAATAATCAAAAAAGGTTTTTTGTTTCACAAAAGTAAAACAAATCCTCCCACCACCCACCAAAAATTTCTGTCCTTCCTAAAGATCCAATTTGATGAGGCATTTCTCCATAATTTCAGAGATCCTTATACAGGTCTTGAGTAACATTTGGCTAGATGAATTCTTGAGTAATTATTAATGCTATTTTAGCTCTATATCCCTGTTTCATAAGCATACGTCCCAATGTATTTATTTACAGGACATACTACTCAGTCAAAAGCAAATCTTTTCAACTTCATCCAGTATTTAAAAATAAATGTTTTTATTTACCTTGGCTGACGATGACATCTTTGTGCCTGGGGAAAAATTCAAAATAGTGTCATTAATAATATGTGAAATGCTTGTCAAGCCAATACCATCTAGTTCTTACACATTATTGCATTTGGCAATGTCATCAGATTCTGTGTACAGTGTAACTGTAGCATAGGATGCTAAATAACTGATCTTGGTCATCGTAGTGCATTTTTACCCATATATTATTTTATGCAGTTCACTGTACCTTTCGAGTAACTTACAATCTTTGGCCCTACGGCAAGGGTTCCTAAGAATTACTGTGATAACAACAAAATACAAAGAGCTTTTAAAAATAAATTATGGAGGACATATTCCTTGTGCACGGAAAATTCCATTTTGAGAGAGCAAACTTGTAATAACCAAATGTTTTAAGCTGCCAAACACTCTCAGGCCTGCATGCAAAGCATTTAACACCTGTCAAAATAAGCTGTCAGCATACAACAGCACAAATTTTTCTAGGAATTAACCCTGTTGGACACACAGATTAAATGTAAGCAAGTTGCAGTTTCATTTAAACCAGATCCATGCAGCATTACTGGATGTACAACACAAAGTCTTCAAAAGAGTGCAGTTGAGATGTCTCTCCTCACCAGAACCAGGAATGAACTACTCACAAAACACCTCAATCCTTTTTTGTGAAGAGTGAAGAAATACTAATTTCCAGCATCAGAACCTACTTCTTACCGGAATAACACTCCTTGATAGGAAAATGTATTGCATAAAAAACCCTCTTGAATTAATTTGAAATTCAGCAGGAAAAAACAGTATTTTTAGCTGGATGGAGGCCAAATTTTTGTAACAGTGATAAAGGGTCAAGCATATGCATTAAGGAAAGTCATCTCTGGCTATTGGTAAAAATCACCCTTCACCATACTGCCAAATGAAAAATTAAAACTGGATTCCCAGTATTACCTGAAAAACACTGAATGATGGGCTGCTGTGGGAACCCTCTTACTTCTTATGGCTTTATCAAGACTGATTTACAGTTCAGTGCTGGCTTAAAGACTGAGCTTACTAAACAAAGTTCATATCCTGGGCTGGTAGCGCAAAGCATATGTAAAACATTTCTGTCCTGGGGCCCACACTAGGGGCTGAATTCTATTCCCTTGCACAAGACTCGGGTAACTTCAGGCAGATTAGGCCAACGTTTCTTAACTGGGAACGATAAATGCAATATAACAATATGCCTTTGCACAATACCAACCAATTCTTTTAGAAATTGGGCACACAGGATGTGACTAAGAAATGAGTATTAATGTGTGCTCTTGAATGCAAGTAGTGCTTTTATTATAAATCTGAGCATAAGAACAAGGTACACAAAGAATACAACATCCAGTCTTCAATCAGATGATGGTCTACAATTGACAAGGTTTGAAGCTTTGTTTTTTGCCAAATACTGTAAGATACAACAGCTTCAAATTATGAACAGATAACTTTCTCTAAGAAAGAATTAATCCTATCTTTCATTGTCTGCTCTTTTAGATACCTGATTTTTTTTCTACATTAGAGACTGCAGAAGGGCAGCATTTAAAGTCTTTTAGAAAATAAGCAGAATCACAGGAAAATGAAACAAGATATCTCTATTTTGACCATGCCTGAACCAATATACAAAATGTCAATAAAAGTAAAATTTATTTTTTATTATTGGCAAATTTGAAGTATATACCACATTGTGAAGATACTTTAGTAGCATAACAAAAACCAAGAAAAGAAACATGGTAAGTAGAAATCAAGACAGAAGGTTTTTTCATTCCAAAATATTAACTAGCAGTACCCTGCTATAATCTAAATTGCCAAAGGGCTTTTAAATTCCAACAGTGAAAACCAATTATAAAAGGAAAATAAATACTTGCAAAATATGTAACGTATAATCCCTCACGCACAGCGCTTCACTGCACTGCAGAACTCTTCAGGCTAAGCATAAAGCTTTTAGTAAATGCGCCGATATCCACACCCAAGATTAATTTGTTTTTGTTCTTCCCATTCCTAGGAAAGAAGGAATGCACTTGCACCGCTCTTGACTCTAAGTATGTATTTGACAGTCTTATATGCAAGCTAGCAAGAGCACTGCAGACACAATCATAAAAAGACTGGAAATTACTCTGAAAGGTCTGAAAAGTTTTATTTGTCATAGTGGGAGGGGTTTTCAGGTAGTTCTGCCTTGGACCAGTTAATGGCTATTTGAATGAAGGTTAATGAGCGGATGTATGAGATCTGCAGACAACATCAAGCTGAGAGAAGCTGCCAGCACGCTGGGGGGATCTTGGCCAATAGGAGAGGGGTCAGTCAGAAAGTCAACACAACAATTTCAACAAATTCAGCAAAATGTCAACAAAGTCAAAAAAAGAAACTAAGTGTGTGAATATGAAGTGGGAAGCCCAAGTGGCAAAGAGTACTGAGGACAAGAATTGGGTCACAATAGGGGTCAACAATGTGGAGTTAGAGCAAAAAGCAAACTCTTGTGCTGACAAGAGTAGAAGTAACTACTCTGTGCTATTCATCCCTGGGGTAAGGCCTCCACTGGAGACCACAAACTGAGAAAACCTGCTGCTGAAGAAGAGTACAAGAGGAAGATGGGCTACAGCACATCACCCACGGAAGGCGAAGCTCAAAAGAAGATCTCTGCCTATTATCTAGAACCTGTTAAACAGTTAATTTGAGAGACCTACCTGAAATCATAAAAGTATATTCTTACTATTACAGTCTACTTTAAAAACATACATACTATGTCAAATCCAGTAAATTAACTTCAAGGAAATACACTTGCATTTTCAAATCAGTTTTAATTAGGAAAAAACTGGTTGGAAGCTTCGCACCAGTGGCATTAAACCATAAATCTTAACTCATAGTGCATAATTCCACTAACCCAAATGGGCAACATTAAAATACATTTACACTCAAATCCTGCATTCACATTTTATAATAATTTTAAGATTCCACAGGCACCTGGAGTGCCACATTGGCAGGTTAGGCAAGTAATTACTCTTGGTAAAAACAAAGATGCAAATGGTCTTAGCATATACATAAATAAATTCACTAAAATTATGCAATTTCATAATATTTTGACTCTAAAGTTCACTTGCTTTTATGTACCAAACTGATACATACTTGTCTGCATTCTTTGCCACTTTTGATATTAATTTAGATGTTGATGCTACTCTCAGCAGCTTGTTACGACTGTCATCTGAACTCTCCCAAGCACTGTGAGGTTTTTCAGCAGTCAAGGATTTCTTTATGCTAGAAGAAACAAAAATATACTTTAAAATGACAAGATAATAAGATACCAATAACTGGAACTGGTATGCAATGGACAGATCAAGCAGCAGGAGACAAAAGCAGAGCTAGGTCTTCCTTCAAGCTGAAGCATGAAACAGGAAAAAAAGATTAGTCAAAAAGTTCTAACTGGATGAATGAAAACAATTGAGCAAGACAGTTGCCAAATGTTTTATCTATTCCTTTCCATTTCCAAATGCTCTTACATAAAGACTTGAACAAAATTCTATACTTCATTACTATATTGCTAATGAATTACAAAAGTGGAAAAAGAATGAGGCTACAATATATCAGCCTTAAAGAAGAAATTATAAAAAAAAAAAATCACTTAAAAAGGTAACAACGAAAAGCAGAAATTTTTTTCCCTGATTAACTGTTCACCAGTTTTAACACACTAAGTTCTGAGGCAGAACAGTTCTACCAGTTTACAGTTTCATATGGCTGTTTTGCAGATAGCACATTCTAAACCACATTAATGGCTTTAATCTTTTTGAAACAAATGTTTGCAAACTTCTTGCATGAATAAGGCAAGTTAGGTTTGGCCCAATACTACAGACGATTAAATCTATGAATTCTGATATAATTTCTCAGCAATCTTATTGTGGCCAATTTACACTAATAGGAACCTGCAAGTTTTGCAGTCACTAGTTCATTAGTTTCACACACATCTTAATCGTGGAAAACATGTTCAAAAGTGATCTAGCTCAAATTACTCTTCAACCAGCTGATTTAGAGTCTGCATATGTCCTGCTAACAGTATTATACTTCATCCCGTCAGAAATGCTTTTTGCAGGATTAAGTCTTGAACTGCAACCTTAGAAATGGCAAGCTCCTTCCACAGCACCTCAAGAGGCTGAAAGGTCCTGTGACAAACAAGTTAATCAAATCAAGTTAAACCATTAGGAGACTAAAAAAGGCATTTATTTTTTTCCCCACACTGCAAAAGATTAGTAAGCGAGACTTCAGACAAACATCTTTACAGTGAGATACCAGGCAGGAGAACAACAGGCCACAAGTTCAGCTTCAGACAACTTAAGAGTTTGTGCAAGACATGGAGAGAGAGCCTTTATGGAGTGTTATAACATGCATCAGTCAAGTGAAAGTTTAAGTATTTATTAGAGCTGTGAATTCGAGCAATGCAAGACAACATAATCTTGTGAACTACAGTAAATTTCAGAAGAAAAAATTTCATTTATTTAAGAGCTTGTTTCAGTCTCCTAAATGCCAAACAGTAAAAGAAAATTTCATACCTTGCAAAACAATAAGGTGACAATGAACCAAAAAAGGAAAAAAAGAAAAAGAAACCACACTAAGTGATCCGCATAGTTTTGAAACTCAGAAATAATCACCCAAATCTTAAAATCCCTTTCCTTGACTTTAAAAAGCCATTTTTAAAAAAAAAAAAAAAAAAAAAAGGTACCATTTTTTCTGTGCCTAATTCCCACTAAAATGAGTGGGAACTTAAAGGCAATCCTAAATAAACTTCTACGTTCACTCAAGTCAAGCAGTTCTAAGATTTGGGTGTAAAACCAGAACTTCACTTACGTAAAGAATGAGAATTAAAGTGAAGTGAACCACCTGCAACCTAGCAGGAATTGAAAAGGGAAGGGCTGCAAAAAAAAAATCTAAACTGCAATCACTTTATAAAATAATTTGAGAACAAAAACTCCCAAAGGAAGAATTGCAATGATACTAGTTTTAACAAATGCTATTACGAGATGTAGTAAATGGCCATGTGCAAAATACACTCCTCAGTTCAGCCACGCCAGACAAAACGTACAAAGTGTATTTTGAGAAGGATCAAGTCAGAGTAATCGTTAAATATTTTAGAATAATGACTGATTAGAGGTAATCCACCATATTAGGATTTCAATCACAGAGAAGAAAAAAACCTTTGTAATCTTAAAAATTTACTCAAAGAAAAATTGCATTTTTACATATTTGCTCTGTTGCAATGCATGTTGAATGCATCTTCTCTAGCACAAAAAATATCAAACATTTATTAACTTGATCATGAGATTGGAACTATTTCACACGACTTGTTGTCAAATATGAACTCAGTATCATTACAATCATTTTCTAGTTCTGTACTGTGGTACTGTGAAAACCTTTTAGCTGGAGCAGAACTCTTGCTTTCTTGAGTTTGCCTGTGTGTTTGGAGAGTCTGTGAGGAGGGCTGGGGAGAAGGTGATGCTTGAGTTTGTGGACTTTGATCATTAGAATGAGATTCCTCTTTTTTTTCTTTCTGTCCTGGAGGTTTTTCCTTCTTTTTTTCTGTACCGCTGTAAAATAAAGTATAACATGGGGGGAAAAAAAAAAAGAGAACAAGCAAATAAATTAAAAAGGTGGGAGAAAATGCCCATTGTGAAAAGATCGGAGAAGTATGTAACAACTTACTATATATAATCACCAAAAGAACGCTTTGATTATATTTACTCACTCTCTTCAGGTTAGCATTTTGCTAAAATAAGATTTATTCACAAGCTCCAAAAAAAAAAAAGGTGAGGGAGGCATGGAAGATTATTTACTTACTTTTAGTGTGTAGTTGTACTAAGTTTACTCTGATTTTAAAATGAATACAACTTTGATTTGAGTATGTCCTTCATTCACGCATGCTTCTACAGCATTCAAAGCTGACACAAGTCGATGCACCACAAGTCTGCCATCCCTCAGAAAAAAAAAAATCATCCTCTGTTTCAGCTCACTGACTACCTCACCGTGCTGCCAGCCAAGGCTCAGTGCAAGCGAAAGGCAGGAGTGTGACTTGCACTATCTCCGATTAGCTTAAGCCCACCATGAAACAATACCACTCTCTCTGTATTTCTGGACGTGCATGGTATCGCTTATCTTCGTGCTGTCACCAAAAGAGTGAAATGCTGTTGCCGGTCCCTTGGCTCTCCCTGGCTGCACCAGAGCTCAAAGGAAATCATCACTGAAAACTCATCGCTGTTTTGGTCTGTAGTTGACTAACATCAGACTGTCTTGCCACTTCTTCAATGCCTTCGGTAAACGACAGCTAAGAATGCATCTTTATTTTCACAGAGCTGTATTTATTAAGTTAACATTTGAAACAGCTTTAAATACATGTCATTAACAACCTTAAATTCATTAAGAACCTAACCAAAGGTCCACTAAGTAAACAGAAAGATTAATTAAAAGGCTCTTTATAAAATAGCATGCTTTGCAATATACTGAATCACACAAACAATAGCAGGACCTGAAAGAGAAAATTATTCTGTAGTACACAGCCTATTTTTTTTTTTTTAAAGATTAAAAGAAACATCTTCCAAGATAAATTTCTCAGTGAACAAACAAAGCAAGACACAAACACCAGCTAAAAAGGAAAAAGAAAGATTTTTCTCTTAGGTTCAAAGTAACCTGAAAAGTAAAAAAGAAATAGTCTCTTTTTGAAGGGAAGAATCCAGATTTCTATTCCCTCACATCAATTCCCCCCTGAACCCCTGTATTATTTCTGTTTCTATTTACCTTTCCCCACAAAACAATAAAAACCAGTAAGACAATATTCAAAATAAATGAATAAAAATGGGCCCCCAATTTTAATGTAACATTCATAGGACCCTCTTTTTGTTTCATTTGTTACTTCAATTAAAGTATATCATCTACCATCAAGACAAAGCCCTCAATGCTTATGAGTTCAACTTTTCTAAATGCTTCCAAAGCAGCACTGAAGAACAGGTCAAAACATGAAAAATAATACAAAACCAAAATATATTTATAAGGATCACTCATAATAACTGGTTAAAAATGTCAATATAATCCATCAAAGTTACATTTTCTTTTCAGAAAAAAGATGACAACAAAACAGAAAGAGCTTTCACATTTCTTGAGGGCATATATGTGATCATAGAGAACAAAGTTTGAAGAACTGTGGGGTTTTGGTTAATAATTTATAGCCAGAAGTCCTTAATTAACTAGAAGCATAAAAATTACTATTATTTTTTAATCAGAAGACTTAGCTTGCATTGCTAGATGCAAAAGCACACTACGCAATCTTAATCTTTTTGCAGTCTGTGGCAAGAAATGCAGTATAGCGAAATAAATTCTCGGAATCTCTTGTCACTAAAGAAAATGAGTCTTTCTATTCCTACTCCGACAGGTACACTCATAGACCTCTGCATTCATTCTCCCATAAAAGCAGTATTTCTCACAGTGAAGTCCATCTACTAGGACAGACACACCCCACCCCACCCCCTTTTTTTTTTTTTTTTTTTTTTAAACGAAATCATCTTTCTAGAAGACATGCTTCCAATTTTCCCTTTCCCTCTACTTGGGGATTTCAAAATACAGTCTAATAATAGTAAAAGAGATGAGGGACACAGAGAGAATACACAAACATAATAAGTTCTGTAACTCCAGCTTGCAAGTCTACAAAGAATGGTCTTGTTTAGTCAGAACAATGGCTCATCTGGTACCATGTTCTGTCTCTGATGATGACATAAAAGAGCTCATCAGAGAGGTCATTACCTGCAGTCCCTTCCCCCATACCTTTTGTAATATCCTGTTTACAGTGACACACCAGCAATCCTGCAATTCACCTCTATGTTCCTCCAGCATGCTCAGGTGCATGCCACCTGCTGACAGCAGCATATTATCTAACTTATCAATTCGGTCTCATATTTTCTGTGTTCTTACCCAAACTCATTTAGCTCATCTGATCCGTCTCCTAGAAACCACAGGGTCAGTGTGGGAATCTCTTCAATGGCTTCACCGAGCTTGTCATCTGTGGACTATCCATTTCACACCTTTGCCATTAGGTTCACTCCTTAACTTCTCTGTTGGGCCATGAGAGTCACTGGACCACTCCGGTTTCTCTGAGATGCAGCACAAGGTATACCTTGGGTTCCAGCACAGTGCTTTTATCTGCCACCAGGTTGCAAGTGGGCTTCTTTTTTTGACTGCCATTTTAATGTGAAAGTAAATTATGTAGATATGTGGCAGTCTTGGCACTGAATATCTTTGCGTTGAATTTATTTGGTTTGCTCTCTCCTGCTAAAATCTTCAGCTTAATTGTATTATGACTGCTATTACAGAGTGGCTCTCCCACTAATACCTCTTGAATTAGGTCTTGTGCAACAATTGAAACCAAATCAAGAACAGCACCTTTTCTTGTGGGTTTCTAAAGACTAGTTGTTCTGGGAAGCAGTCATTTAATGTGTCCAAAAATTCTTTCCAAATCCCATCTCGATGAGGCATTTCTTCAGTCTACATGTGAATAGTTGAGATCTATTACAATCTGTCCTAATTTTGCAGATTCTCTAATTTCACTTAACGCAACGTTTCATCCTTTGGACCACAACACATTGGCACCTCCTGCGGAGGGTAGTCATTCTGAAACATGAAGACTATTCTTACCAGAAGCCGTTTTCAGAAGAATTTTAGTCCTAAGGAAAATGATCTCGCAAAGCAGGTCTTTGCGAGAGTTATCTGCAGTACAAAGTACAAACCTGTTTCCAACTCTAGTGATAACACAAGATATGCAGCATGTTTTTCGTTCTAAAGTGTTTTGACACCTCTATCACAAGTCAGTTCCAGACTACAGGTCTGAAATTTTCCCAACATGTATGTGACTTCATCTCTGTCAATGAGACATCATCTACCTGTTGGTCGTGGTACATTCCTGGGCTCTGGTTTTAGCAACAGCTGATATTTTAGCATACCTTTGTTGAAATGAGACGTGCTGCTGCTGTGCAGCTACTGAGCCATCAGATCATCTCAATGACCTCAGTGTTCAAGTTGGTAGAACAGGGATTAAACAGTCCAGGAAACGAAACAGAAGAAATTCTCAGAGATGGCACGTCTACAGAGGCCAGAGCCCCAGAAATGTATAATATTAAGCCTGCACAAAATACAGACACTAAACTTCAACAATAACAGTTTAAACACAAGTAGGCCTTCTGTTATTTGTGACTAGATGTACGGCTGCATATATTTAGAATATGAAAAGCTATAGGCAGGTTATGGGGGCTGTTAAAGTGTAATTCTACATCAACAGATGACCATGTCCACCTGCTGCACCAGTTCAACCTCCAGCCTGAAGAAAAGCCTGAACAAGTTGGGGTGAAGCATCCCATGACCAGCTGATATTCTCCTTTGGCCTCCCTCCTTTTCAACTGTGACAAGAATGTTAGAAATAGACACGTTTACCCTAACTTTAAGGAAATGGGACTACTATTGACATTCACTTATGTCTCCTACTAGGAACACTATTTGGTACTGAACAGTTTTACTGTTGTTAAAAAAACACCACAAAGCCTGAGATTTGACATTTTCTTTCACCTTTCTTGAGCTGGTAATTTTACAAAAAGGCAAGTCTATTTTCTTCCAAATACCAAACAAATTTTATGGAAGAGTGTACAAAGACAGGAGAGTGAAAGGAACTGCTGAAAAGGTAACTAAAGAGGGGGCTTAAGCCTTCCTAAAACAAGCCTTGAAGAAGGGAGTCACATATCTTCAGATGCATTGGAAAAACCAAAACCTCCCCTGGACAGTTATTTGGGTGCCTAGGGAGAGCTGCCCTCTGCATATTAAGGCTTTCCTCCTTTGGCCTATCCAGGTCTCCTTTTAAAGACCTTAACTCAGATGAAAGGGATGCCCAGCCACTCCACTCCGCTCTTCTTCTGTAGTCAAGTGTTGAGCAGCCAATGAATCAAAGTGGTGATTCAGAGCAAACACAAGCTGAAAACCACAGGAACTGGACTGGCTCTCATCAAAGTGCCAAGAGCCACAGGGGTAAGATTAATGGAAAAGTGCTAACTAGGAAATACCTTCCTGCAGGAATGTCTTTTGTCCCAGTGCCTGTCACACTAGCAGACAGAGACACACCATGATCATTTTCTGACTTATTGTCGAAAAATAAACATAAGGATTCAATAAAAAAGGATATGCAACGCTACACAATGGAGAAGAGCTAAGAGAAGGGCATTACCCTTGCTTCCCAAATTCCAAAGGGCACTAAAGCTTTTTCTGGTTTGTTCTCATATAGTTTATACTTGCATACAGCATTTTTATTCCCTGAAGTATGTAATTTCCCTGTCTTGTTGTATAGCACAGTATTTACATCCACACTAGAAGATAAACCAGCCACTGGGGTTACCAAAGTACTCTACAGAGGCCAAGAATTTGTTCACATAATTTACCACAGTTACACATTAGCATATTCTCTGTCCTGCGGCTGTATCTGACAGCCTGTTCTTCCCAAGAAAAAGGAATAGGTGCAAAACCTATTGATTAAAGAAGCCATGTCATCACTATCTAACAGACCGACAGAAGAAAGCAGTTACACACTTTGTTTACTGTATGCAGCTGAAACCATTACATGGAGGAAAAAAAAGCTATTGTTTGGTGCTTAGCTCATTTAACTTACAAATACTCAAACAGTGTTATTTCTACAGATTTGAGATCTGATACAGATATTCTTCATAAAGACTAAGTAGCCACATTTTGGGTTAAGATTTTCTACACAAAAACGTAAACTTTTATCTTACACAATTCACTATTGTTTCATAGCTATTTTGCTATTGCCTACTATTTACGTTCCAGACAATGAAGTCAGTTTTGTCCTTGAATTTCCTTGGGAAAAAAAAAAGATGCAGATGAATACCAGAAGGAAAAATTTTCCATTTGTATTGGAAATACATTTGCCCGTTCAGTTCCTTAGTGAGAATGCATTTTGGACACTATAGAAATACTCTCCATTTATGAATTCTTTTTAGAACCCTGCTGTAAGCAGCCAAACAACATGGTACATCTCCGAAGTTTATTTGTGCCTTACTAGACTTCAGGAAGCTCTGCTGAGGGTCATGCAGAGGCAAAAATCAAATCAAGCTCTTGCTTGGTTTGTTTTTTGGTTTGTTGTGATTTGTTTGTTTCCTGCCCCCCTCTCCCCCCCCCCAAAAAAAAAATTTTCAATTTTAATAACAAGTCAGTACCTTTTTGCAGCAGATGAAAGAGTTTCTTTTCTGGCAACAGAAACAGAGGAACTGTGGCTTGTTTTCCTGCTTCCTGTACTCCCGTTAGTTATACAGGACATCGAGATAGCTTCTCGGAGGCTTGGCTGA